GACGAAAAAATGAAAGAAAGCTAAGCGGAGTAATTTAATTGACCTTTGATTTTCAAAAATAATTTATCTTTGATCTTTTGCATGTGGATCCTTAAGGGGTCATTTGGCACGCGCGAAAGTTGGAAGGAAAAATATTTAGATGTGTAAACATTTTACAAGAAAAAATTAGTCAAGCATGTTTCCTTCTAGTAAACACAGTTGGAAACAAGGAGAGAGAGAACACAACAAACTTTGAATTTTGAGATTCATTGAAAGTAGATCACTCTATGATTGAGAGTGGCCATGATCAGCAACTCCATCAGTCTTGTGGTCTTATGCTTGATTTCCATGCTGCGTTTCCTCAAGCGCATGTCTTGCTGTGGCGTCTTCTTTGAAAATGAATCCTTAATCACTCTTTCCTTAGTTTTGAAGACTGATAATTTTTAACCTCTAATGGATCCTTGATTTCCTTAATAGGGGTAGCAGTGGTAGTCCTGGCCTTAAAAACAATTAGGGCTTGGACCACAAAATATGGCCTGAGGGCTGATATTTTGTCTGATTTTATTTGGTCCGGCCTGGTTTGGGAGCCCTGTGACTTCTTTGGGTTGATTAGGGCTCAGCGTGCCTGATGGGGACTTGGGCCGGGTTAAGGCCTGGATTAGCCTGGTGCAGGCCCGGCCCCTTGCCAACCCCACTCCTCAATTTGTAAAATTAATTTGACATAGGGGCATAGTAAATAGGAATATAATAGCTTCATTTTCCACTAGAATTTCTATCATTTATGTGTTTTAAATTAAATTAGTATAAAAACAAGTATTTTAAAACCCAGCTAGTCTCGATTTGGATCCAAAGTTGGCTGAGGACAAATTCGTTCATGGAGGGTATCGATCCTGACCCAGTTCCCCATAAAACCTCCATTTGAAGGTTTTTTTTTTCTTTTCTTTTTATTTAGATCTTATCTAATGTTTTCTTACCTCCTCTTTAAATTCCAGCCCCATAAATAGTTATTTTAATTTTTATTTGATTTTTTGAATTGCTAATTTGGACCAATCCAGATTGTTGATCCCGTAATTTGACATGAGCATTAAAGGTGGACGATCGATACAACTAATCTCAATTTTGAAACAATGATAACCAATGTTTGAAAATTCGTCGATCCAGATCTCCGCCCGATCTGGATCGAGAATCATTGATGACGATCTAGATCTCTTAATATATTGGGATCAGAGGACTCGTCACCCTAGAACCAGCAGGTTCATATATATTATATTACAGAAACTGGACACATCACCGGTTCACAACTCCAATATTATTTGAAAATAATACTTGGTTTTTTTTTTCTTGTTAAATTTTTTTATTAATTTGACAAAAAGAGCATCATAGGCGACGACCCAGACAACTTCAATATTATTTGAAAATAATACTTGGTTTTTTTTTTTGTTAATTTGACAAAAAAGAGCACCATAGGCGACGACCCACATTTTGATCTGAGAGCAAAAAGAGTATCGCAGACGGCCCACCTTTTGATACGTCGCCTCTTCCTTGTGCATTTCCAACTCATCAATGCAAGTTTATTGCTCTCGGAGTGAGTGCGACGCTCCTTTTTGAAGACTTTGTATTATATTTTCGATATGGGACAAGTCCTATTTGGGGTTTCTCATTTCGATTTCTATGGAGGTGTCTCTATCACGTCAATGGAGCGAATAGAACAATAAAGTTTGTAAATAATAATAACTCATGCATACATAAATTTATTTATTTATTTTTATTTTTCATTAAAATATGATTATAAATTTATATTTTGAGCTATAATGCAAATCGGTTTTGGGGATATTGGAAAATCGTATTTTAAAAATTGATTATTTTCTAAATAAATGTGGAGATTTTTGAGACCTATAGGTTATTGGTGCATATGGTGTGTGATTCAATCTTTTTTTGTTATTTTTAAATTTTTTTCAAATTTTGTTTCATTATTTTTCATTTGATAGTAAAAAATCACTTTTTTTAAGGTTTTTTTTAATTTCATAACATCAAAATTTATGAGGGGTTCTATATTTATTTTTAATCTTATGATATTGAAGTGTTTCTCAATATTTTTCAATCATATTCGATGTAATATTATAATATTATAATAATATAACCAAATCTTTTATTTTATATATTAATTTATTCATATTTGAATGACCTAATGTAATTTTTTTTGTTATAGTTGTAAATACGATTTTTTATATATATTAAAATTAGATGTTATTATAAGACAAGGTTAAATTTATTCTTATTCATATAGTAAAATAATTATAAAATATAAATTAATAATTTCAATTTTAGTATATAATATTATAGTTGGTTAGGTATTGATAATTTTGGATGAGAAGAGATAATTTATAAATATTTGATGTGATACTAATTTCACTTTGTATGGAAATTTTTTTTTTGTCTTATAATATAGAAGTGTTTTTTAGTGTTTTTATATTCTTATTTAATGCAATATCATTAATAATTATATGGATATCCAAGAAACAACATATCAATATTGATGTGTCTTTACAAAATAACAAAAATAGATAATGTAACAACTTCAAATTTTTTTGAAACCCAAAAAGTACTTTTTTTGGGAATTTGTAGTATTTTTTAAGCCAAAATCGACCGATTCTCTAATCCGAATTATCAATCCACTCGATTCGTAGCCGATCCAGGTAACCGACCCAGTTTTTTAAACCTTCATCAGAACCATTACCTCATTATGTGTTGGTTTCCAGCTATCTTAATTTGTTTTGTCTACATTTTTTATAACAAAGGGATAACCAAGATCCATTGAAAAGACCCCTACCAACAACCCACCGCATTCCTGCATGGTCTATGAATTAAATGCACTACTCCACATGATCAAAGTGGGGACCACAACAATGCACATAATTGCAACATATCAATAAATGGAAAAACGGTATTAAATGTTAGTTAAAGGAAAATAGTTTGATAGGCCCTACTCTTATCAAAATAAATAAAGCCTCATTTCATAACTCACCAAAAAATTACAATTCAAGTACCGAAGAACTTTGAATTGATCATCTCAGCATCTTAAACATTATGGTTGTAAAAACAATTAGGTATTTAAGTTTTAAAAAGAGTATATATTGCAACAAATCATCTACATCATCCATTTTCCCCCCTAAAAATAAGTCCTCCTAAAAAATAAGTGTTAATAGATCTACAAGATTTGTATTAGTTTTTTAGTTTTAAAGTTTATTGTCGGAATTGAAAATTGATTTTAGAGCCATCATAAAAATTTATGATGGCCAAAGTGCTTTCTGGATGAGGATTTAAGGTGAGGCTGTATTTTATTTTCATAAAGCTTAGGGCCCATAAAAACTTCATATGTGAAGAAAAGGTTAAAAAATTGTTGAATTAAGGGAACGTATATGGCTCAAAATAAGGTTCCGAAAATGGCATTAAAAGATGGGTGTACGCATGTGTTTTCGAAAAAGAGCTTGGGTCGTGATGGTAACACCCCACACCCTAGTTACCATGTTGTGGTTTTCATTCCCATTGCTAACACTACCCATTAATACTTTCAAAAAATTAACTCCTAATCTACTTGAAAAAACGGGTAGGGACTGTCTTCCCCATTGAATTGCCCCAAAAAAGATGGTAGCCTTTCCAAGGGTGTGGTTTGCATAAGGTTGAGGCTCTAAATAATCAAAGTAAGATGCACAATCAAACAGTATCAAAATATGTTGTTTTAGTAACATGAATCTTTGTGATAGCTTGAAAATTTATTTTCATCGTTAATTATAAAATGTAAAAATTAAAAAATAATATAGATCGAGCAGATATATTAACACCTAAAATCTTGAACATTGACGGTCTAGATAATATATTTCATGGTGCACTATTTTCAAGACTTGAAATATCTCTTTTTGTTCTTTTTTTGTCATGTGCATAAATCGATTATTGAATTTAAGGTTTTTTAGCATCGAAACAATCTCTTCTGGTCAATTTTTGAGGTGCGCCTTAAGTTGATTATTTAGGGCCTCACCCTTATATAAACTTTTTCTTCTAAATAATTGAAAACATTTATCGTCATCCACATATCAAATATATGCTTCTATGTTTCAAGCTATCTTATTTAATGAATGATTGAGATAGTTTCCATTATAATATCACAAGGTAATTTTTAAGAGATATTGATCGGACAAATCATGGTATCTAATTTTTATTTCTATTTTATATATTATTTTGACAAATTTGGGGTGTCCCCATTTTTCTTAAGTGCGCACCCACTAAAAATAAGACAAATAATTTCTAATAAAAAATAATGATCTAAATACCCTATTAACTATTAGAGGTTTTTGCTCATTTATTTTAGAAGAAATATTTTTTGTATTTTTTAAGACATGCCTCAATTTATGTCAAGATGATTTGTAGAAAAACGTCTAAACATGAAACATTATTAGTTGTGACATTGTTACTAAAGCAATCTTAGCCGTTCATTTAGATTGGACATGTGAGATTAGTCGTGCTATATGATTTATAGTGGGTGAGGCCATGTATAAATGGTTTCTCCAAAAAGAAAAGTTAGGCTAATGGTGTTTCTTGATTGTAGTTGGACTAATAGTGTTGATTATGAAGCACCAAACCAATTGTACAATGTAGGTGCTCAAAGGGAGTTGAGTCCAATAAGCTTGGAAAGGCCACAAGGCAATACATACTAAACAAAAATTCAAGGGAATTTTAGAAGTATTTTTTTAATAATTCTTTTAATTTTAAGGATTTCTTGAAAAGTAACTTCTTAATACATTTTCTTTAAAAGCAATCCTTGTTAAGAAGTGGGTCTTAAACCGAAAGCAAATGCAACCTACAGTGGGGATAACATTATATTTACGTAATGTTGATTACTCTAGGTGGCGATTCCCCAAGGGAGCACTGTCTGTTGGAAACTTGGTGGGTGAAATGGGAGTAGAAGATGATACGATTTTGAAAAATTAAAAGCTCGAACTCTTCGTATTTTTTGGCACGTAGGAGTACACTCTCAAGACAATATTTGTCCCATCCTTTTTTATACTGAATTTGATGTGCATAAAAAGGACAATTCAACCTCGGGATACATGAAAATAGAAAGGTCTTTTTTATGTTCTTAAGTTTTATGCACTTGACACTAAACACCAAGAGCCACTATGAGGTTAAACATTAATTGTAGTGGCGATTACATGCACCACCAACAACTACAAGTTACTTGCACCTCCTTAAAAGAGATGTTACAAGCCTTCAATTTCATCAACGGCAGTGTCGTCAAGCTTTCTTTCGCCCCCACGCTTACACGTGCACCATTATTCTCTCATTTGTACTGAGTATATTACATGAAAATGTGTACTCTTAAATACAGTTCAATATACTGTCTCGTCTTCAAAATAAAATGAAAAATCCACAACTTTCTCTCTACAAAATACAGCTTAGAAAATACCACAAAACCATATTATTTTGAAACATACACAAGTCTTTTTCAAACCAAAATATCAATACAGTCCACATTTAATTGAGCTTGTTAACTTTCTCTTGCATTTATGGATGGATTTAAATTCACAACATACATGAAGACTTGAGTTGGTTAACTTTCCCTTGTATTTATGGATGAATTTAAGTTCACAACATACATGAAGACTTGAGTTGGTTAACTTTCCCTTATATTTATGGATGGATTAATTCACAACACAGTTGAAGACCTCTAATGTGCTCTAGAATACATGCTAATTAATGATAGCTGAAAGAATCTTTGACCTTTTTTTGGTTGTTTCTTATGGAAAAGAGGCGCAAGAGAGAAAGCGATAGAGAATAAAGAAAGTTGCTTCTTATCTCCAAATATCCTCTTGATTTTATTAAACTTAGGGTTCGTTTCCATGTGGAGTAATTCGTAAGGCACGTTGTGTACATAGTGAATCTGGACCATCCATTTCCATAACATGCTCAATCAAGGTTAAAACATTTGCTAACATGGAGGAGATTTGACCTGACTTTCTTCAATTTCATATAACTGTAATAGGTATTACATCAAAAAAACTAGGGTCTAACCAAAATAAAAAGAAAATTTGAGTGGGAAAATGTAAACATAGAAAGTAATTAAAAATGGGTGAGGTTTGTAAGGTTGCAACCTCAAACAATCAAAATAGGGCACACCTCCAAACATTGTCAAATATGTAATTTTGGTGCCGAAAATTTTTACAATGGCTGGAGAATCTATTTTTATCTCTAATTATAAATTTTAAACTCCAAAGCTGGTTCAAATCAAGCAGATTCAAAAAAAATTTGAAAATGGACAATGTAGATAATGTGTTGCAAGATATATTTCTTTTGGGACGATTTTATATATATATATATATATATATATATACTATTTGATATCGAGATGATCAATTAGAAGGTTTTTCAACGTCAAAATAGCTTTTTCCAATGGGTTTTTAAAGTGCATCTTAATTCTACATTTAGTGTCAACCTTATATAAACTTTTTCCTTAAAAATTGATAAATTTCTATTCAAATGTAAAAAAATATGCTATCTCCATGAAAAATAATTTTTAAAAATGTATTTCGGGGTATCCAAACGGCCCCTAAATTTTCTTCCAATTACAACCTTTGTTGTTTTTGTTTTAAGCGCTATTTAATGATTTAAGTCCTTGTAGGACGTTCGGGCCACGATATATGAGCCTTTAGCTGGTTTTTATGAACAATCATGGAAATGACCATTAGTCAAAGGTCTTAATCAAGTGGAAATGAATTCATTATAGTGATAAATATTGAATTAAGTAATATTAATAGGTGATTCAAATCAATTTAAATAATCTTACGGGAGTTTCAAATTAGAATTGGGAAGAACTGAGGAATTTTTGTGTTTGATCAACACGAGCTTATCTAGATTAAGTGTCTATTTATCAATGAGCTAGGGATGTTTCCAAACTTTTTAAGTTCATTGTTCATGTCCAAACTCAGTGGAAACAGTTGGATTGATCAAAATGCCATTGGTAGTTTCAATCCAATTATGACACTATGGCGCGTTTTGAGAACACTTATCTTAAGGGATTGTTTACTATGAAACCATTTTTTTTTTATACAAGGAGCTCACAAACACTTTTCACTATTGGTTGTGAAATAGATGAAAGTGTGTAACTGATAGTTGACAAAGGTGATCTAGCATGGTGTATACAATTTTTTTTTTATTTCACACCGACTAAAACACTTACAATGGTCTAATTACAATAAATTCAACTCAAAAGAAAAGAATAAATAAACAAATTAGTTCTCACTTGTTGCCACTAATTATAATTTTTTTTTATTGAATAATAAATAAATAAAAACATTATGCTATGAGAAGAAGGAATTACAAGAGAATGAACGGGTAAACAAAAGTAAAGATGCCGAAAGATTATCTCAATCGGACTTAGAACACCCCACACCTGGTCTCCTCCTCTAATGAGGAATAAATCAATGGACCTTTTCAGATCTTCTAAATATAAGATTACCTCAACTGGACTTAGAACAACCCATATTGGGTTTCCTCCTCCAATGATGCATGGGATCAATGGACCTTTTCGGATCTTCCAAATATAGCAAAGCTATGGTTAAGAGATTATGAGACTAGCGCATGGGATCAATGGACCTTTTTCGAAACTTCCAAATACGGGAAATCTATGGCTAATAGTCATTCTATTAAATTTATCCAGTCCTATGATCTTAAGAGATCTATGGGATGAGAGATTTAAGTCATTCATTCATCAGATCAACCATCATGATCCAAAGGATGATGCATAACCTTATCCTTCAGCTTCCTAAACTTTTATCACATCAGATATAAAGATATGAAAAATATCAGATAATATTTGTTACACATATATGTCTTTTCTTATTTATATATCTTTTATGGTACAATTACCTTAGGACTCCATAAAGCATATCTAGTTCTTAATTGACTTGATCAACAAGATTATCATGGTCAACTAGGCATATTTCAAAACTTTGTAGAGAATTCTCCACGAATAGTGGGGCGTGTCAATTAGGGCTCCCATAGTGGCCCCACGCACATCCCAATGGGCCCTCATCTTATTATATTAATTTTAAAATAAAAAAATTGATTTTTAGTATTTAAAAAATAAATTTTAATTTTTCTTATTATTTAAATGCTAAAAAATGAATATTTTTTATATTATAAATTCATTTTGTAAAAATAAACTATCCAGAGACTCACAAAAATTTAAATAATCATTCTAAAAATCAGTTAACATCAAAATAAATAAAACAAAAATAATTTGATGGGAATATGATCCCTAGTTTGGGAACTAATAATTTGAAACACTCCATCTTCTACTATGAACTACAATCCACAAATGGTTTATCAAACTAACCTTATAGTTCCCATGACCCACAGACCACTGCAAGGGTTTATGATTGGAATACCAAAGTCAGTTAATAGACAAGTGAATATATGGATTACATGTTCTCCCCCAGAGATGAACCCATGGTCACCAAAACCATATGCAACCACAACTCTATGGTGCATATGGGTAATCTTTCACACATGTGCATATTGCATCTTCAATAGTGTCTTGCTTTCTCGATATGACTATCATATGCACACACCGTGTGATGGTTAAGTGATGAGGCTTTGGCTCTCGCCTCCAAGACCAACCATTACACACAAAGGTCACGTAGTCCATTGGCTCACTCCCCTAGGCAACTCTGACTTTATCAAGGGATAACTTATAAACCCTCATTGGTTTTATTTTATTCCCAAGTATTTGGAGTTTTCCAACTTGATTGGCCTACCATGTCAAGCCAAGTATGAGTATCGGCAAATAACGTTTGCCTATCTCGGTCCCTCAAGACTACAATCTCTTGTTCCCTCCAGACCACACTCCCATTGGAGTTCTTTGTTCTACTCATATATTGATTACATGCTCTCATAAGGCTTTTAATGGCTACAAAAACCCAACAGTAACAACATTTAAAAAATTTTGTTTTGAACTTTGTATCTAAATAATGACACTTCTACAACCACTTAATTTTGAATATGACAGTCAACAATGATAGCGACGTCCTATAGAAAAAGTAAATGATCTCATTAGATATATTTCTTCATCTTTAACAATAAATCTCGCGCTTTTCAACTGGTCTTAACAAGATTTATTTCTTTGTGATTTGTAATCGAGTCCCTATCACTTTCAACTAAAAAGCTACATGAGTTTCGGCCTCTTTATTCCCAAAAAGGTCTCAAAAGCATGCAACTATGAGAGATTTTCATAAATATTTCACTTGATCCATTTTTTACCTTGGAAGTATAATTGTCCTGGCTCGGTTACATCATAGAGATTGTGCCAACCGCATTTAATATTTCAAAAGGAGATGGGAACATCCAGGGACTCTATGTCTAGTAGTTCAAATATATTTACAAAATTAATAACTTTGAAGACCAACGTTCTAAAACTCAGCCAAGGCAACTTGGGCTCGATCGAGTAATCGGGCTTCGGCCCATGGGTGAGGCAAGGTTTGGGTGAGTTAGTTGTACACAATGTTTTTAAATTTTAAATATAATATTATCGCAGATTTATATCAGAACCTCTTATAAATAGGCCCCTTATATAAGGGGCATTAACCAACACGACATTTATTACTTTGTTGATAATGAGCTGGACTCGGATGATAAAGGGATTTTTTATTTCAAAGGTATTTGTTTGCCAATCTTGATCAAAATTACCTAGTTAATTGATTTTCTAAATTATGCTTTCTTTTCCACTAGAAACCTACCTGTTTTTATTATCTAGGTTTCCTAAGGTTAAACTCTATGGAATTTAGGGATCATTTTGCATTATTTCTAGGTTGGACCATGTTTTGGGAAGACTACGGTTTACTATGGATTTGGTATATTCGGCTAGTGTGGTCCCTAGAGTTGAATGGCTATTTTAAGGCTTTTCCTATGACTTTAGAGGGTCATTTTTATGCCTTCAAAATGTAGAGAAAAATGACAATTCCAACCTATGAGTTTACAACTGCCCCTCTTTGGCTTGGGTGGAAAAGACGTAGACAAATAAATACTGATTATAAAGCTTGTAAAGACTCTAAAATTATCAGATTAAAAATCATATTTTGCAAAAAAGAACAAAAACATGGCCTCTAGTAGCTGCTATTTGATAAACTAAAATTCTCTTCTGATTTTCTACTATTTTTGGAATATTTGTTCCTTTGAATTTGAGAACGAGTTTCTACTCTTGACCAAGAGATACATTAATTTTGGCCTTTGCATGACCTAGAAAGACCTTATGGGCACACAACTGGTGCTCTTTCACAAGTGTCTTATTTGGCTGAGTTTTATAGTGGGAACATAATTGTCCAGACTTGATTATATCCCATACACGGGCATGTAATACTTTGAAGGCATAAGAGACTCCAGGTCCAATCACAATAAAAGTTGTTTTACAAAACTGAGTTCCTCAAAAGATCGAATTTGGCATCATTTTTAGACTCGGGCGAGTACTATGTTCCGATTTTGTATATATTTTTCATATTCTCTTTTATGATTATATGCGGTGAAGTGATCTTTTTGGCTATTATTCATGCCTCAGCATGACTTATTTTTAAAAAAGCTTGCCTGTTAGAAGACAGGTTCATCGGCTATATTCGATGCAGCAACCTACTGAAGAGGTCCTGTGCTTTTTAACCAACAAGCTACTTAAGCATTTGTAATAAGAACAAGTATCTTATTATATGTATATCGTAATTTTCTTTTGTCATTCTCGTTTTTTTTAATATGACATGAACTCGGCCTAATAACTCGCATTGGCTAAGGTCCGCGTACCTTAATCGAGTCGCTTTTTTGAACATTGGTGTTTGCCATTATGCAATGAAAGTTACCTGTTGTAGCTCCAATGATCATAAATATTTTTTTTTAGTATAAGTTGGAGATAATAGTCTCCTTATGAATTTTGGGACAGTTAACTTTTGTGCTAGCCTTGTTTTAACAGTCTTTCAACTTTCTTGGGCCACAATTTGACTACAAGTGCATTATTTGTCAGTGGCACAAATAGGTCACTAGCATCCTCAAGATTTGTGAACTCTGAGTTCTCAACGTGGTATATAGAGGAGAGCAAATTCAAGTTGCAATTAAGCACTTTTAGGCAATTTTGAACATCAATAATTACTTTTTGAGAAGATTAATCTCATCTTTTAGGCTTTAAAGGATCTTAAGATAAAAAATAAACTGGAGATTTTTCTTAGGTCGTAAGTCCAAAATGGGGCCCACTGGCATCATTTTATGAATAAGCAGAGTTCCTTTTCTTAGCAAGCCTTGAAAAACTGACATTTTGGCATGCCACGAGCCCACGACTCATGTGAAAAAAGTATATATAAAAATCTTTTTTCAAGGGGGAAATTGCATTCATGGGGTCAAAACTCTCATAAATCAAATAATCCTAATTAACACAATAGGCTTTTAATTTTCATTTCAGGTGCCTTCTTAAAAAAAATTGTAAAACATGTCCAAATTATCCTTGTTCAGGTTTGGCAACCGTGAAAAAGTAGGGGCTTAATAGTAATTTGATCGCATTAATAAACAAGGGTACTCCCATCATTTAGTTGGAGCCTCTTAAATATGATTAATTATTAAAATGCCCATGCTTATTTATAGTTATAATCCTGAATAAAGGCCCTTGAATATTTTGTAGGATTTTTTGGGAGATGAACCTAAGTTATATGAAAATTAAAGTGTAAACCTCCTATTGTTATTATGATGTTTTGACCCCTTTCATGATCATTAAAATGATATTTTTCCCCTAATAAGTCGGCGATCTAAACAAAACCTAGAATACGGCAATCCAATCTTGCTGGGCCCGTTAAAATCTTAACACTCGGCTGTGATATAATTCCCCTTAAACGGATGAAAAGTACCCCTTGCTCTAAAATCTAGGGTTCATAAATATTATTACCATCCTATTAATAGATTGGTACCTATCTGGGTTATGTCATGTAATTTGTGGGATTGATTCTTTCTCCATCACCATTCATCCAATTAAATTTTGGTAGTTGAGTGGGGAGGAGGTCCTTTTCAAGATATCACATTGTGGTTTTCTGTCACCCTAACCACCTAGGTTTTCTGTCACCCTAACCACCTAGCCCATTCCTTATTGCTCAAAGAATTGACATTATTAATATATAAAATATAAAAAAGAAAAACCTCAACCAACTTACTCGGTCATTGATTGCAGAGAGCTGGATCCATTGCTCAAGCTGGCTCTCCAATGCTATTCTGTATTGGGAAAAAGAGTTTATATAAGGGAGGGACTCTAAACAATCAATTTAGGGTGCACCTCAAAATTCACTAAAGAGGTTGTTTTGAAGCCCAAAATTCCTCAAACTGATCATCTTGACTTCAAGATGTATAGAAATGAAAAAAAAACGAATTTCAAATCTTAAAAATAGCATATCATATATTTTTAGACTGTCAATTTTCAAGATTTTCATATATCTGCTCGTCTACACTACTTTCAAAGTTTTAAATTTTATAATTAGAAACGAAAATAAATTTTCTGGCCATCACAAAGGTTTCCAGTATTGAAATAACATCCGTCAACACTACTTGTAAAATCACTATTTATTGGTATAGTCACCCTTGAAGAAAAAAAATAACTTTATTTTAGACATAAATACTCCCAGGTATAAACCTATAATTCTCTATCTAAAAACTTGATGGTCGGAATTTAGAGAGAAAAATTATCTCAAAATATTTAGATAGAGTTTTAAAAAGAGAAACTAACTCAAAATTTATACGAAGTTATTTTTGTTCAACACGAAGTCATTTTCTTCTACGAGGGTTGACTGCAAAAATAAGTAGTAATTGCGTTAGTGGTATGGTTTAAAAACGTACCGCGCGACCGTACCTATAAAGTATGATCCACCGGTACACATAATTTTCCCTTCGGCATTTGAGTTTTTGCAAACAGCCATTGACAATCAACGGTTCAGAGTGATGGACAGTTAATGTTGTTTGATTACCAACGGTCCATCAATAATTAAATGCTCAAACCACCATACTTACACAGTCAACTATCTTCATCCATTTAATTAATCCTGGAGCCCGCATCCAAGTGGGTCGTAGGCACCGTGCTTCAAAACTTGGCCAAGTCGATAACAAAAAAGTTTGAAATTGTGAATGCCTCTGCCAACACAATTATAATCCCATTTCCATTACACAATTACAATCCCAATTCCCTTATTACAACAATTACAATTACAATTACAATTCCATTTTCATTATTACGAATATAATTATATCATGCACTTAAAAAAAATCAAAAGAAAAAAAAGTGAAGCAAAAGTAAGGCCAACGTTATCATGCACTTATTTTTTTGTTTGTTAGAAAAAGAAATATAACATTTAAAAAAGACGAATCGATTTTTCATCATACTCATCAAAAAATATATTTTTATCATAAAAACATAATTTTATCAAAAAAATATAATTTTAGTAAACAAAATAGATAAACACTTTCCATATTCATCATAAAAAATAATTTTATTGACTTAATAATATAAAGTAAAATTAATTTTGTTAAAAAAATCGGTTTCTCAAAAACCCCTAAAATCTAGCAACATTTCGAGCAAAAACTACCCTCAATGTTCGGAAAATCTAACAAAGCCATACAACAGCTTTGTAAAGGCTTCCATCATCTTTAAAAGCACCAAATCCAATAAAAAAATATTTGATATTCTATTTAATTAAAAAAATCACATAAAATTTAGACCTATGAAATTTTCATGACATCAAGCAAGAAATAAATTCGTATAAAAAGCGTTGCTCAATTATAAATCAACTTACCTATTTTATATGATAGATGAAGCCTTGATAATCAACTCCATAAATCAATTTCATAAAAAAGACAGGTAAATTGATCAAAAATCTGTATTTTGGATCGAAGACAAGTTCTTCGAACAGCAAATTTTGAGGCCAAAATCGACCCCAAATATTATTTTTTTTAACAAATTAAAACATGGATATGGTAACCAATTTGATTATGATTCAAAATCCTCAACTTTCATCAATAATATTTACCTATTAAAGAAGAACTTAACGAAATGGCAGATTGAATTAGGGTTTTTCGAGCAGCTTGAACATAAGTTCTTCGAACAAATTTTCAGGCCAATATCAACCACCTACATCTTGTTTGTTGAACAAATTGAAACATGAATATGATAATTATGATTCAAAACCCTCAAGTTCATCAATAAATCGTTACCTATTCAAGATGAAATTAACGAAATGGCGGATCGAATTAGGGTTCTTCGAGTAGCTTCAACACAGGTTCTTTGAGCAAAGTTTCCAGCCAAAATCCACCCCCTATATCTTGTTTGTTGAACAAATTGAAGCAGGGATATGGTAACCAATTCGATTATGATTCAAAAGCATCAAATTTAATCAATAATCGTTACTTATTGAAGACGAAATTGATTGAATGGCGGATATTTCCAAAGGTTAGAAATTCCGCACTTCAACACACAAGAACCATTGTTTTTTTAATCTTTGATTCGAATTTTGTTGTTTTATAGACAATAAATAATGGTTTACAACACTAAATCACCGAAAAAGCCAAAAAAGGGCAAGGAAATTGAATAAAAAAAAGCAAGAAATTTGAGTTACTGAAAATAACGGGATCCGTTTCAAAAAAACGGCCGTTATTTCATTTTGCCCGTTTTTTTCCGAAAAAAACGCCGTTTAACATAAACCGGTCCACTTAGTTCAAAACCGGCCGGTTAGATATAAATACTGTTGGTTTGACTTTGAATCAGCTGGTTTTGGTCCTGATTTTTTAATGAGAGATAGGTCTAGGTATTGGTACCCCAAAACCGGTCCTAACGGGATTCGGAACCCTAGCGGTTCCAATCTACCCGGCCAGTTCCAATCTAACCGGTCGGTTTTGCGAACGCTGGTTTTGATGCTCAAATATACTCAAATTGATCATCTCGACATCAAGATGCATGGACATGAGAAAAAAAATAGATTATAAGTTTGGAAATAGTGCATCTTGTAACACATTTTAGGACTGTCAATTTTCAAGATTTTCAAGTGTTCATAAATCTGCACGCTATACAATATTTTTTAAGCTTTAAATTTTATAATTAAAGATAAAAACATATTTTAAGGCTATCACAAAGATTTCCATTATTGCAATCATATTTTTCAAAGCTATTTGAAGAAGGGCTTTGATTTGATTGTTTAGAGCCTCGGCTCTACGCAAACCTCACCCTTTTGGAAATTTGTTTCCAGCTATAAATTATTTGTTTAATAATGCACCGGCTGCATACTTTCGTCATGTTTTACAAAACCCTTTTGACTTGTGTAGCATACAAGCGAGTCCACTTGAACTCGCTCGAGTTACTCGGTTGGGTAAAAGCCAGCTCCAAACCCGACCAGAGTTTTCTAACATGGCCTATAAGAGAAGATACTTCGCTTTTAATCCAGAACACATTTAGCAATTAGTAAGATAGGAAACCAATAAAAATAGTATTGTAACATTGTTGGATTTATGTGGCATTTAAAGGCCTTATGAGTGTGTAATGAAAAACATTTACTATAGGAAACATAAATTCAGTGAGAGGGACTGTGTGACCCTTGTGTGTAATGGTAGGTCTACAGAGACGAGGGCCAAAACCTCATCCATGTTCCATCACACGGCATGCATATAGATAGATCGTTCGGGAAAGCTTGATATCCACCTTTGGGTAAAGCATATGCATGTGCGAGAGATACCCCTATGCGCCATAGAGCTGTGCACGCATCAGGTCGTAGTGACATTGACTTGTCTCTAGGGGAGGACATGTAATCCACAAACTAGCATTGCGATTCCTTGGCTCATCGACCAGACTTTGGTGACCCATTAATGAGCCCCTGCTTGAACTGTGGGTCATGGGAAACACTGGGTCGGTTCGATAAAGCAAGTGTGGTATGTAGTTCACAATTGAAGGTGGAGTTTCCCATGATCGTTGATTGAATTTCTGAACCATATAGATCCACTTCCCATCATATTGATTTAATTGTGTTGATTTTATTATTAAATTATTTTAGATTTATTATTTGAATTTTTGTAAATCATTTGATATTTTATTTCTTATTTCTGGACTTATAAAAATGAAGTTATTAATTTACAAAGTTATAAAGTTTTAAAATTTATTTTTTAAAAAAATATTTATTAAAAAAAAATACATGAGGGCTCATAGTGCACATGGGCCCACCATGTGGGTATTA